TTAATCAGCTACCAAGTTTGCAAAATTTGTGTTTTGTTTGTTTGTTTGTTAAAAATGCTATACAATTGTTTGGTTGTTCCTGACACGATCAATAAATAACACTCTTTCCAATTTTCCCACCAAAAAGCCTTGTGCCAGTAGCGGGGGCATTGTTTACCTCCTCTCTCCTGGCCTGAGGGAGCCCTAAGTGCCGCCCCCAGGGAAGAGGTGGCGCGCGCTGCCCTCCGCTTTGGCCTATCTCCCTCGCTCGCTGCCTCCGCCTCGTGCTTCTCCTCTGCTCCTCTCACTCTGAGGCCACGCGCGGCGCCTGCAAGCGCTCTCCTTCCCTAGAACGCCCTCCCTGTTGTCAGGTGACCAAGATGGTTTGCTGTTGTCGCTAAGGTGCTGGAGGCCGCGTCGCCCGGCCTTCGAACTAACAGAGCATTCCTTCGCCCCTTTCCTGGTGCAAGCATCCCAATAGCAAGCCGATAGCTGGTGGGTATCTCTGTATTTATTTATTTTTTAAAGTCCAGGCAGAACTCTTTCCGGACGTTAGGTATTTTCTTGCGCCTTTGGCCTTCCATATAGGTGACCCAGAAGCAAGCCAAGAGCACTTCTTCCAAGTTTTGTTCTCTCTCTCAGGGCCCTTCCACACAGCCCTATATCTCAGGATAACAAGGCAGAAAACCCCACAAACTGGGTTATCTGAGTCCACACAGCCATATATCCCAGTTCAAAGCAGAACATGTCGCAGTTTATTCAGCTGTGTGGAAGGGGCCCCAGAGGGATTTCGCTCAAGAGAGACAGAGACAGATGTCTCTCCTAACGAAGGCACAGTGTTCTGATAGATTGTATACTCTCACTGACTCCTTCTACACTGCCATATAATCCAGATTAGCAGATTGAACTGGATTATATTAGGCCCCTTCTACACTACCATGGTGGAGCAGCAGGTTAAACCGCTTAGCTGCTGAACCTGCTGACTGAAAGGTTGGCGGTTCAGATCTGGGGATTGGAGTGAGCTCCTGTTGTTAGGCCCAGCTTCTGTTAGCCTAACAGTTCAAAAAGTGTGTGTGTGTGTGTGTGTGTGTGTGTGTGTGTGTGTGTGTGTGTGTATATATATATATATATATATATATATATATATATCAGTGATTGGTGGGGGGGGGCGCCAAAATACTGTTTGCTTACCATTGAAAATTACCTAGGGCCGCCTCTGACTGTAAGAATACATCATTCCCCACAGATCACCTTACTAGGCAGCACTATATTGGGCGAATCTCCTATGCTAAATGCAACTGCTACTAGTTTTGGTGAGTTTGGGGCAGGGGTGAATTGGGCCAAGTTGGTAATATATATCTAAGTAGGCAATGGAGAATATTGGCAGCAACTGCCTTCTCCCTTTCAAAAAGGGATGTATTAGATGATGTTAGTTACAATTATTATTTATAGTTGCTGTTTTTCAAAGGAGATACCAGACTCAATTTCATATGTAGTGAAGAGAAAATAAGGTGTATTTAACTAAACTTACATTATTAGATGATTTCATGTGATGGTAATTTGCTTGCAGGGTTTGATTAGTTTGTTTTGCATACTGAATAGAGAATTTTGGAAGTTGCAGTCTCAAAAAGTAACTTTTCTAAGCGTTGCCTCTCTCCCTTAGTCACATCTTGATTTGGAGTGGAAAAATAACCCTTTTATTTTCCAGGTCCAATTGCACTATCAGTGCCATAGCTCTTAGACAGCATGTCCTGGCAAGCATTGTGGATGTTCCAGCAATGCATTCAGAGAAGAGAGGCAGAAAAACTTCCCAACTCACTCTTACCAACACTCAAGCACCACCATTGTTCTGAGAACTAAGAAAAGGGAAGGTTTTGATGTAATCCGAGGATCTTTACAGTGAATTTGACAAACATAGATGAACATCTTGGTAGCTACAGCTGTTTATAATTTTTGAAATTTCTGTGTAGCTCAGTCCAATGCTTCTAATACCTATTTAGTAGGGCTGGGCGGTTTCGTTTCGTTAATTCGTAATTCGTTAATAATTCGTTAATTTTTTCAATTACAAAACGATAACGAACCATTCTGGAGCAATTATTTAAAAAAATCAATTTTCAAAAACGTTTTGTAAATGCTTCGTATTTCGATATTGTATTCGTTTCGTTATTGTTTTGAGGTCGTTTCGTTATTATTTCCGCATGTCTGGGCCAGTTTTATGGTTTAATTAGTGAAAAAAAATTATAATATCACACCAACAGTCAACAACAGAGGGAGAGGGAAGCTTCAGAAGGTTTTGGAGGATTTTTAGCGTATTTCGCGGTCGCGTCCGCCATTAACGAATCGATTCGTTATTGTTTCGGAAATCGATTCGTTAATTTTTTACCATTTACGAAATTTCGTAAATATCGAACTTTTTAAAAGGAAAATTTTGTAATTATTTTAAATATCGAAAAAAAAACCCCCAAATACAAATCGATTTTAGAAACAATTTTTTCCGTTGTTACCCAGGCCTACTATTTAGTCCTCAGCTTGAAATGAGGCAACAACGACAACAACAAAAATTTATTTATATCCCACCCCATCTCTCTGTGGGGGCTCAAGGTAGCTCACAGACATAAAAAGACAACTATTCAATGCCTTGTACAAATGCAAACTTCTTTCTCTAGTATATATCAAAAAGTTGTCTAGCAATCTTAACATTAGAGAACATCAATCTGTGAAATATTCTGCTGAATTTGTTTTAATTGTTTTTGCATGAAGCCATCTTACATTTAAATTTCAACATTTACAAAGTTTATCACATCACAGTAACAGAATGATTAAAGCTGTTTTAAAAATACAATTCCCCACATGTTCCAAAACAACATTTAAGAAATTTCCAAAGGAATCCTGGGCAACAACAGTTGACACATATCATGCTACATGGAAATGCTACTATTTTGCCCGTGTTGAGCTTGAGACAAGATGTCTGCAAAGCAATAAGTTCAAGATGTACTCATTTCCTTCTGCAAGAAGCTATAAAGAAGCTAAAACAGCATGATTAGTTTATGCTGTTGTGGTTGTTGTGTCCTATGCCAAAAACAGAGGCTTACACCTTTCCACGACTGCATCCCTCTTGCCACCCTAAGTCTATCCTTGGATCAAATTTTCTGCTATCCTCATGCTGCCCAGAGAATTATGTAAGAAAGACATCAGAAAACAAATGCAAATCATTTTCTATAAAGATAAATGAAGGCACATTAAAATGGATCATTGCTTCCTCACTGCTATTACAAATCAAGCTGCACAAAACAAATTTGTCAAAAATGTTGAAAATATGCTTTGGTTCAAAGCAGTTTTGATTTTCAAAGTGAAAGGTACCTCCACAAAGTAGAAATTAACCAGAATACTGTTAACCCCATATAAGTTGCCCACTGGCTTCACCCTTTCAGAATGGACATAGTCATCTGTAAAGAGATTGCTCTTACTTGTATGCTAGACATTGCTTGCATGCAGGTGTTCCATGATGCCATGATACCTGCACATGTAACTTCTCCTTTGCAAACATCCATGAGCAGTACACAGTGAGGAGACATGCAATGTCAGGCCTGATGTCCTAATCATGCAATGTAGAACATCTACCCAGGTTGCAGTCCATCTTCAGGCAAAGTTGATGTTAATGAAACTAGTTGAGAGCCAACAGCAGCTGGTGTTTTCCATATCAAAGGTGCAGTGAAATGCATTTTCTGCATTTTAATAATTAAACAGAATTAGTCCTTGGAGTTGCAGGGTGGAAAGTTAACTTATGTATTTTTGGAGTGGAGTAGTAGAATAGTATAGTTTTAGTGTTATTTTTATTTGGGGCAACTTTTTGTACATTAATAATAATGTAGTTGATTTGTAGATTCTGTACATATTTATAATGTATTTTTCTATATAGATTAAATAAAATTATTTAAAAATATTGTGTAACTAAATGTATATTCCCAGCATTGCCCAGATATCAAAGGGGCCACTGCTTGCCTCCTTTCTCCAGCTCTGAGAAGGCCTATCTCACAATGTCTACATGGCATTTCTCTGGCAATGGTGGGCAGGCTCCCTTTGTGGCTCTTTCTTGCCTTTTTTTGTTTCCTTCATACACCTTCTTCCTCCCTCCCCTCCCCTCCCCTCCCTTTCTTCTTCACTTACTTTCCCTCATATATTCTTCCCTTCTTTTTCTTCCTTCCTTCCTTTACTTCATTGCTTCTTTCTTCCCTTCCTTTCTCTTCCCTTCTTTCTCTTTCTTTATTTTCCTTCCCTTCCTTTCCCTCATGACTTTTCCCCTTTTTTCCTCTCCCCTTTTTCTTTCTCCCCCTTCCTTTTTAATCCCTTCCTTTCTTCCCCTTCCCTTTATTTTATTCTTCCTTTCTTCGTTCTACTCATACACATTACCTAGCAGAAGCCAAGCTGCTTTACTCCCTTTCTTTCCCAGTCAAATCACAGAGAGACAATTCTGCTAGGAATAGCCAATCTTTCACCTAGCCACAGCCAATCCACTTTTGTGCCTCTTCTTTTTCCCTCTGCTCTGGGCTCAAAAGGGATGGGATTTTTTTTATCCAAACCACACAATTATTTTAAGTTAGATAATGAAGAGTATGTGTAAAAGGTTTAGTCCAGATCCATCAAGACATGTAGGAGTCTTTGTGGTACCAAGAACATATTTGACTTTAAGATGTATAGATGTAGGGTTGCAAAAGATTGATCTATCCATTGATTTTGTCAAGCATTCTCCATTCAACATTATTAAACACCACATGCATTTCACTCCATGAAAAATGTAACACCATAAACAAATGGTTTTATGGCCTAAAACTTTTCTGAGCAGGCAAGCCATATAAATTAAACAGTAAAATGCAATGAAGATGTTGAAAATTGTGTGTAATCTGAGAAGTTATATCATATTCACGGAGCTCATTGTGGCTCAGGCATTCTAGCCTTGAAGGAAAAGAAACAACTGCTTCATCAGCTGCACACTGAGATGTACATCGAACACCTAGCATCTCTTTACGTCAAGTGCATTTATTTGCATATGGGGCAACAGGCAATGCATCATGCTTAATGACTTTTATGAAGACAGGTTTGCACCAAATTAAAGTTATGCCAGTACATACAATAGATTTGATTAAGTCTTCTTATCACACTTGGGGCATGCTTGCTAACCCAACTCACTGTGTTATATCACTATAAAGCAGGGTCCCAAATTGCATGGAGAACCCCCACAGGTAAAGAGTTGTTTCCCTGCTTCAGTACTTCTCTTTCTATCATAGGGAAGAAAGTTTTCTGTTTTCACTTTTCATAGAATGTTTAGGTATTCACAGAGATGTGTTCCCAGAGACCACATGGCTTCCAATCTCAATTATTCCTCCTCACCAAATCCTGTATAGCATGTAGATGCCCCATTTGCACCTATAGACATTGACCTAACCCTAAGCAGGCTTCATTGTACAGAACTAGTGGTTCTGTGCTTCCACATTTTCATCTCATATATGCATATATTTCTATTTTCATAAATTAATAATGGAATATGTTATTTTCATCAGACATCTCCATAAAAGTCAACGGAGCCAGGAAAAACACAAATTTCCATTCAGATGAACCATGAAGATTAGCAAGAGTGCACAGATCCTCTTTGCTGGAATCAGAACAAGATCTTTTGTAAGTCAGGGAGACAACACCCAAGGTTTCCATCTTTTAACCATCATGGAAGTGAATCAGTACTGTTTTATTTTAAAAGGCAGCCAGTTGTTTTATCTTCATGTTAGATCATCAGTTCCAAACAAGTTTATAAACAAGATAAGAAAATTTACAAAATCTTCCTCCAAAGTTAAGAGGTTTTGATTCATTACATTTTAAACAATTCAGATATGCAATAATAGTAGTTAAAATAAACCCATCTCAAGCTCAAGTGTCATACTGATGAATTCACAGTGGTACATCTTGTTTGGGGTTATCCCCATTTAAGGGTGTTGCTATGGCAACAGTGTTCCTGGTATGGTTTTCCATGGAGCTCATTCGAATAGCTGAGGTGCTGTGCAAGTAACTAGTAGATCTCCGTTGAGGCGGCACCATGCGACAACAAACCTGGCTATTGAAATGCCGCCTGAAGCTCTCGCTGAGAAAATAGAGGGCAAATGGGTTGACGCATGAATTGGAGAAGCTGAGCACTCGGGCTACCAAAGTAGCAACCATATGGCCAAATGATGGATCAATCGTGTTGTAGTTAAAGGACCTATACATGTAAAGCACATGAGTAGGCAGCCAGCACACAGCAAAAAGTCCAACGAAGACTAGTACAATTTTAGCCAGACGCTTTCGGGTTTCCATCTAGAATGAGAAAATTAAAGATTCAGACTCCATCAAAATACATAACTTTATGCTCTTTCTTCACTTTCACAATCTATACATATGCAAGCAGAAAAGGTGATAGCATGGAAGCCACAACAATTTTTTTTCATATCCAGATATTTTCTGGTTCAATTTTTTTGTACACGTGGCATTAGAGAGAATCTTGTATTTCTACATAACATTCTATTGATATTGTAGATTTTACCTATTTCTTCATAAATGGGTAAGAGCAGTCCAGATTTGACTGAGTTGACCAACCCAACAAATTGAGGCATATTTTCTGCTGAATACTCAGAGTCTGCTTATCAGACCAGAGAGAGTTATCCTCCCATCTAATTTTAAAACTTCTTTTTAAAGAAATTCTTCAAATACTCTTGCACTATCTAGAGGTATAAAAGGCAAGGAAGCTGCTTTATATTCAGGAGAGACCCTCCTCTCCTTCAAGAAACTTCTGAAAACACACCTACGTACTCCTGGAGAGGAAGACGACTAGCACAACCAGCACTTTATGGCTGCTATGGTCTATTTTGAATTACAACTGATGCTTGACACCTTTTGCAGTTTGGTCGTTTTAATTGTTTAGGGCATATGCTGTTGTGCAATTATGTTTTATTGGTATAATAATGTTTTCCTAGTATTTGTTATTTTTTAATTTGAATTCTCTTATTGTAATAAGTCTGTTAATGTTTATTTCCCATGTTTTGATATTGTGTGGTTTAATTATGGCATTGAATGTTTGCCTCTGGGGAGAGAGGGCGGCCTAGAAATAAAGTATTATTATTATTATTATTATTAAATATGAAGTAATACATACTTTCTGTTTACTTCCTCCTTATTTCAACATCTCTCCCAAACATAACTCAATTAAAACATGGGCAGTAGGTACTAGTAAAACCAGAATTGCAAATTCAATATTTTTTTACTCCACAAGAAAATGGAGGCTGGGGAGCACCTTGCCTCCAGAATTACTATGAAGCCTGTCAACTGGCTAGGTTACTAGAATTAGATATTGGAGAGCCCAAAAGATGGGTTAGGATAGAGAAATTAACAAACGGGTGGGAATGTGGATCTTGCATTATGGGGAACATTGTGGGGAAAGAACTAAAAAAAATAAAAGGAGGCCCCTTGTTATCAACAATGGCCTGTTGGGAAAAATGGCAAAACAAACTCCCACTAAATAAAATAAACAAGCTCCCAATAGGTTCCATAGACAACAGAAAACCCCAGCCATATCACAATATGCTAAAGAAACTGGAACAGAATGGAATAACAAAGATTGATGACTTACTAAAACCAGATGGAACTGTAATGCAATGGGAGGAAATAAAAGATAAATGTGGGCTTGGAAATTGGTTACAATGGGAAGGGCTGTCTAAAAAGCTAACAGAATTGAAGACTAAGGAAATCTCAGAAACAAATCTCGACAAAATAATAAAATGGAAAGTTAAGAAGGAGAAAGGAATCATGGGATTTATATATAAAACAATCACAGAAATACAATATAACACAAAATCTACCCTAATAGAAGTCTGGAAGAAGGAATTAAGTTGCAGTGAGAGTGAAATAGACAATTGGATGAATTCAATCAATAAAATAAAACATCTAAAGATTAAAGAAATGCAACAGAAAATACTGACAAAATGGTACAGAGCTCCCATGCAATTGGCACATATTATGAAAATGTGCCCAAAATTATGTTGGCACAACTGTGGAAAAATAAGAACATACACCCACATGTGGTGGGAATGCAAAAAATCCAAAAGTTCCATGAAATAATCAGGAAGGAAATGGAGGAGCTATTAGGGATAAATATAGAATGGAACAAGACTCAATTTTTCACCCAGAAATTGGAAAGTTAAGGGGAATATAAAGAAAGTGAGGAAATAATAAAACAATGATAGAGGCAATCAAAGCCTCAGTGGCCCTGGGCTGGAAGGACCACAAGAAATGGGATATAAAAACTTGGTATAAATATCTAGCTGATTACCTTCTCCAAGATTATATTAGCGAAAGGAAAAGTTACTATATGAAGGGTCAAAGCAGGACGACACGGGAAGCAAAATGGAAGGGTCTTATATACAGAATAAAGGGGAAAGATAAATATACAGTGTTAAATAAGACTATTCTCATGATTGAACAATTGTAATAAACACAGCAAAAGTACTTAACTATTCCTGGACTTGGGGGGGGGGGTTGTGGTGGTGATGGGATTGGGGAAAATACTGGTATTTTGAATGTTAATCTCAAAGATGGTATGTTTCTATGTATTATACAATTAAAAAATAAAAAAGCCATCTCTCCCAAACAATAACAAAAGCCAATATGTGCCAGCACTACTTTCAGAATAGCCCTCTCATTACTTTCCTTCTACCAAAAAATGAAAATGTTCCTATCTCAACATGCTTCTGGAAGTTGGTTGTGGTGGTCTTTTAATATTGTGTTTTTATCTGCTTTTGAAAAATTTTTAAAATAGCTTTGTTTCTATGGATTATTTAGTAGGGATATATAAATATGTTTATGTATACATTGCATAGACATATATACACACAAATATAAAAATTTGGAGTCAAGACCAAAGACAATATTAAAATCATAGAGATTAACAATTTACAAGAACAATTTATAAAATTTTAAAACCATAGAAATTTTAAAACTATAAGAACATCAGTAATATATGTGTCTGTGTGTATCGAATTAATTTTCTTGTAACTATGATGTTAATATTCTATAAGTATTCTTGAGTCAGAATATTCATAAAAAGGCAGGATATAAAAGAGGAGGAAGGGGGAGGGGAGAAAATGACTTCTTGTGTTTATGACGCTTATTTAGTTTAACCCACAGTTTTGGTTGTTTATAAGTTATATTGAGTCTATTTTATTATATGTCTTGTCTTGAGTGCTGTTTATTTGTTGTTTGGCATTGAAAGTTTGCCACTTTTGCTATTTCTTGTATATTGCCTTGAGTCCCTTCAGGGAGAGAAGGCGGTCTATAAATATATTATTATTATTACTACTATTATTAGTAATAATAATAATATAGCAAGAAGTGAAGGTACCATCACCAGGGGCTTTGTGGGAAGGGGCAGCGTTTGTTTCTTCTGTTGCCTC